TATATAGGAAAATGGAGGGAAGCAATCGAAACAGAGATGAACATCAGACACAGCGAAACTTATTGTAGACCATTAGGAGCACGATATTTGGTGGGTTCAACGTTGGCTCCAATGTGCAAGAGCAGATACCCTGTACATTTCGTGGCTGTGGACGTGAAGAGTACAAGAATGATTGTGGATCAAGCTTTCTCAGTGCCAAAGTGCGTGAGATTGGCGAGAATGTCTGAAAAGTCTTACGAGTTACTATGTAAGATGTTCTCAGCAATTCCAGAGAGAACCAAAGAAGAGCTGGAGTCAATACTAGGAAAGAAGTTCATGGGATATGTGAGCGGGAACTTCAGTGACTTTGAAAAACAGAAACAGGGAGGATCAACTGTCACAGATTACAATGCAGTAGATGAGAATGATGAGCTCCACCGAGTGATGATGGAAGTGGAACCATTGCTGGAAGCTTCGGGAAAACGGAATTGGAGGAGCATCATGTTGACACATGACGAGTTTCCTTGCCACTGCTTGCTGCAGACCTGGTGGTATCCCAAGCGTAGTAATCTGGTGTTGATCTGGGACTCTGGAGAGCTGCTCTCCATGGGTTTACCAGATTCATCACAGCCCATAACAATAGTGATAGTGGGAGTTATGATGGCGATACGATGGCTGGAAGCTCATGTGAGAGAAAATAATAGACAGGAGGCACCGACGAGAGAACAATTGCAGAAATTAGATTGTCTAAAAGATTTAGATCTTTTTGAGACAATGTGCAAAGTTCTAAACATTCCGATGGAAGTGAAGAAGATATGGGCAAGAAAACGATTGATGCCATGGTTCAGAGCTAACATGACTGCATGGTTGTACGAGTATGCGAAAAAGCATATGTCGAAACATGGCAGAGTGTACAGTGAATATCAGCTGGACATTGGGGCAGGAGCTTTCAAGCGAGCTTTCGTGACCCATCGGAATGCAGTGACCACCGCTGTGAAAAGAATTTCCAGGACGAGCGAGCGTAGTGGAAATGAGAAGGCAGAGATGCTGAAAGAAGATTTGGAGAGAAACGTGACGTTGTGTCTCCACAACAGCTTCTGTAGAAACAGAGAATCAAACGTGGATCCCCTACCTTGCTGTAAACAGAGGGTGGAAGAGCAGAAGTGTTGGAGGACGGCTTCCAACAGCGTCAGGATAGTCAATGACGTGCTACAAGACACGGAAACCGAGAGTGCGGAGTCAGTGTCACAGGAGGAGGAAATGGAGCATTGACGAATGGTCGAGAAAACAAGAGGTAACAAGAAAGAAAATTAGAAGAATTTAGAAGTTTTAGAACTTCTAAACGACGAAAAAAGAAGAGAACAAAGGGATGATGAAGAAAAGTTAAAACTCAGAATTGTTTTATGTGTGTGAAAAACTCAAGTGAGAAACCAAGCAACCAAGTTGTAATTGAAAACTGAAACATTTAGTTGAGTTTTGAAATTGTTGCATTTATACATTTGCATTTTGGTTTTAGTTGAAGTGGCTTTAGAGACACTCCCTTATTATTTATTTAGAAAGGCTTGAGGGAAGAGTATATTTAAATATTCCAGCCTGCATGATTGTTTTTAATCACTTAGGAAGACTGATCACTTTGTGGTGACATGAAAAACTTGAGTAGCTTCTTGAGGAGGGAGGTTGTTGCATTGTTCCTTCTGACCACAAAGTTTCTTAGTTTTAATATTCAGGGCAATAAACAAGCAAGATTTCCGAAGGGAAGGAGCATAGTAGGATAATTTTAGCTTGTTGGTTGGCAGGACTGTCCTGCAAGCCAACACCTTTTAAATCTAGGAGAATAAGTTTCAATCGGGACATTGACACTGGAAGTCAGAAAATATGTTTTATCTTAAGTCATATCCTCAATGTGCAGATTAATGAAAGAATTTGAAGGCTATAGTGATAAAATATGATGCCATTTATATTCTGCAGTGAGTCGATGTGACGTAGGTAAAAGTAATTTCGTGCATTTTGTAAATTCTGTTCGATGACACTGTAACCATTTAGAACATTGCGCGATTCAATGAGGACATTGACCGGACTGTCCGGGGAGTATGTGACATTCGACCAGAATGGCCAAATCGCAATTTATGCAGGATTCGAATTTTGAGCAGTAAGCCTTCCGAGTTGATGATTTCGAAGGATTAGCGACGTTATTGGAACGTTTAGCCAAACGGTGAGGGCTAGAATATTCTAGTATTTTAAATTTTCAAAAATTCGAATGATGACGTCACATTTCTGAGAAATGCTGAAACGGCCATTTTAACAAAAAGCGAGTGAAAAACAGAACAACTTTATCTGTGATTGCGAACAGAACGAAAATCGAGATTAAAGAAAAACAACAACGAACTACAATAGCAGAGAACGTTCCAAGTTGCAACTATTGTGCTGCTACAATAGTTGCAAGGCCGTTGCCAACAACGGTGAAGGGTGAGAACCAGCCTTCCGGATTGGTGTGAAATTGAACTTGAGGAGCTTGATTCACTGGATTCAAGAATCCGGAAGGGTTTCGGGACTGGAACTTTTAGCCTTTTATATAAACTTTTAGCTTCTTGTCATGTCCTGAATTGAATTTAATTAACAACTGGATTCATTTTGATAAGGATGAGAAGCTAGGAGTTGGGGGAAAGGGTTGATCCATCTTCGATGGAGATGATGATTTTTATCTACTGAACAAAAACAATAGTAATATGATAAGTAGTAGCCCTGTTTTTAGGAGTGACCTCGTGGTCTGGGGATACAGAGACCCAGCCATGAGCTCACTATTTTTGCATGTAATTCAGTTAATTTGAGCGTTCTGGTCGAAGCCGGAGAGCAGTAACGTTTTTGTCGACCCGATGTAAGAAAGACCACCGAAAAGTACTGGCTTGGTAGAGACGGTGAAAAACATGCAAAGCTCTGTTTAGACGCTAGCCAGTCGTCTTAAGACTTAGTTTTGTTATCCGTCGATATGTATCTTCCGGGCGAATGTTACAGAGGTACTTCTGAAAACCCTATGAACCGTCCCCTTCAATAACGTTTCTTTTGTACTGCAAAGGGGCGCAGCCCCTGACATTTAGAATGGTGCCGGTAAGAGCTCACTATCTTTGCATACATCCACGTTAATTTGCGCGGTTTGGTCGATAGCCTGTAAGTTGTGCGACGACTTTGTCGACCCGATGTTAGAGAAATACACATTGAACTGGCTTGGTAGAGACGGTGAAAAGCCTGTGACGATGTGCCTAGGCGCCAGACTCGTTTTATAACCTAGCTTTATTTTCCATCGTTATGTAAATCCGGACGAATGTTCTAAAAGAAAAGGAATCATTGCCGAGACCTTCCGAACTCCGTAATCTTTCAACCTGTAGCCGTGGAAAGTCTAGGAGGAATAGCGAAATCCAGTTTTGTGTTCCTCGGAGCGCTGGGACAGAGAATCTCTGAAAGGAACGGAGACAAAAGAGCCACGATGTTTTTCAGACAACGGCTAGGACATTCTATTCAACGTGGAAGCTCTGCTTGCTTTTTGGAGGCAGTGAACAGTTCAAAACAATAAAAACATCCTTTCCATCCATTCCAACTTTGTTGTTCTGGTTCTTTGAATTCAACCCTTTTCGTTTTTTGAAATTTTTTTTTGTAAAAGTCACCAGCTGAAAGAAAATAGTTTCACGCACTATGTTTTATAGATGGATTTTTTTGTTTCTTTCTGACTGTTGAACAGTTTTGGAAATATGTTTATAACATTCTTTTTCCAGTGTCTTAAATGAACTTCTCATATCATTCAGATTTTGATCATTTTTTGAAGCTTTTTCTGTAAAAGTGCCCGCTGTAATTCAGGTTCTTGGTTCAATTGAAAGAATATAATGCAAGTTCCTGCCTGTATAAATGGCTTCATTTTTTTATAGAACAGCCGGAATGGTTCGGTTTTGTGAGAAGTTTGTGTAAGGGCAGTTTTTTGTTGAAAACTACCCTGACAACTTTGATATCGAGTTGTCAGTGGATGGCAACTCCTTTATGTTAGTAGAAAAACGACGAAAATTTTAGGTGAAATCAATTTTCGAAACACGCAGTTCATCTCGCATCAGTAAATTTTCTAAAAGTATCAAACAGGTATCTTCAGCATTGAAATCAGTGAGGCCAGATATCAAAGTTTTATTTCAAGCTGTGTCCTATTTTTTAAATATTCTGGCGAATTTTATGGACGTTGTTGCTGATGGACGTTGTTATTTTTTCTTTATATCGCGAGATCTGATTTCAAACTTTAACTCGGTGATTGGCAAATATAACGACAACTGTTTTTGATGGGTCTTTAAGACGGCGCTACTTTCAATTCTCCACATGGTATTTCTGAGAAATTTAAACCGCTTAAATTCGAACCGTTCATTTTACATGTAATAGCAGTAGTATTAGGGATTTTGTGTCTCCACCAAGGGTCCAGGCCCCGTCAATGCACTCGTTTCAGATCACTATGCTCTTATATAATAATTCCTCCGACCATTGAAAACTCAAAATCAGGTACAACAAATAATCATCGGGTTGGGATGAGTGATATATCATATTTAAGCCTTACAGCCGTGATTTTAACCACATTAAAAAAAATTTCAGAAAAAATCCCCGTGTCGAGAAAAACCGGTTCGGAATTTTTGATTTTTTGTCTTATTTCGAGTGAATAAAGCGAGCGAGCAGTCTTTTTTTAGCTGCTTAAAAGCCTACAATAGCTTAGATTAAAATGTACAAACTTTCCGGTAAATTTTCGAATTTTTTTTTTCAATTTGCTTATTTTATTATGATGGTCGAATATACCTAATCTCCAGTTTTTTTTTGTTCAGCTCCTTCTATCACACTACGCTGAAAAAAACGACAATAATTTGAAAAAACGATCACATCACACTGTTTTTTTTAAGACTGTGTCGGAACATTCTGTGCCACTTGCACAATAAGCGGCTATCCTTGTTCTTATTTGTCATCTTAATGTTTTTCGTTTCCATGGCATGTCGTCTTTTTTACCTAGCGCCCTTTAACTGACCTTTAAACAGATTTCAGAACTCTCATAAATGGCTCGCGAAATGAACTTCGGACCAAAATGGATTCGACAGATGTACGAAGAAAAACCCGGAGAGACCGATACACAATCTGCTCCGAAGCCACAGCTCGCAAAATATCGATATGGTTATGAAGAAATGCTAATGTTGTTACCTCCAAAAGCAACCGCAATAGATGTTCTTGTTGGACAAGAAATTCATGTACCAGAAGGTAGAGAACCCGCTTTTCAGCAGACGTTCCAACCTTCAAGCGCTGGTGACTTTTCTTCGAGGCAAACATCATTTGGTTCTATACGCAAAAATAGGAGGCCTGACAACAATTCGAATTACGAGCGTTTTAATTCTGACATTAACCCTCCTTTTTCCAGTCAAGAACCTCCCGGTACTGTTAAATGCGAGGACTTAGAAAATCAAATCGAACGGAAGCCTCCTGCTTTTGTTTCCTCAAAGTCCAGACCGGAAGGCAGTGACGCTTTTGAAACGTTAGCACGAGGTCAACTTCCAGTAAGGACTCCTGCAAGCGAAGAGCGCGATATAATACATCCAAATCTTGAAACGCAACAGAAGTCAAAGTCGCTTAAAGAACCTCCTGACATAAGAGCACCGCCAGTCGTTGAAGAAAAAGTTAGCCAGTCACCACCACCAGAATTTATTGGACCAGAAACCCACAAGAAACCAACGGTGGCCAGTAAACCCGCGGAAGAAGATACTCTAGCTGTGACAACTTGCGAGGAACTTGAGAAAATACTGAACGGAGCTCCTGGTCCTCCGGTTCAGAAATCATCAGCACCAGATTTTCTTTCCTCGCAGCCTACTAATTTTTTAGGTTTTCCATCCCAATTCACGACAACAGACAATGGGCTTACTGACGCAACACAGACATTTACCTTGAATCTATCGAAGGAATTGTCAAATTTCCACAAAGCAGATAACGTATTTAGTTTGAGTGACATCGAAAGTCCTGATAAAGATTTTCTCAATGGCTTGCTAGCTAGTCCGCCTAAAAGCTCAACAGTTCTCGATAATTTCTTAACGAGTAACACAATTGAGCAAGAACACAGACCACCCGAACCTATAACTGCTCCACCCCCAACGCCAATTGCACAACAACCTTCACAATATCCTCCCCTTCCTACGGATATACCACTTCCAGACGAAGAAGTTTGGATGTATATCGACCCCAAGGGTAGAGAGCAAGGACCCTTTACTTGTTCGGCGATGTCGAGATGGTATCGCAATAACTTTTTCCCCGACACATTGCCACTGAGAAAAGTTACAGAATCAGATTACAAATCTCTCACCATATATCTTGAGAAGTATGGCGATGCTCCATTCAATCCTGGATTCCTGGAACGTCAGAAAAGAGAGCAAGAAGAAAGAATGGCAAGAAACAGACGTCCTCAACAACATGCGGTGAATGGCGTTATTGAACCGAACAACAATTTTGAAGATATCCAGCGGAAACTGGCGGAAACCGTGCCGTCCTTCAATCATAAACAAGAGAAAATGAAAATGCCTGTAAAAGTTGACATCGACGAAATGGTTTTTGACAATCAAGACGATTTTTTGCCCGTGCAGTCAAAGAGAAGCCCTCACAAGTCAGCTACTACTAAGAAAGAACAAAAGCCTGGCAGCACAAAGCAGGCGAAGGCGGGCAAAACAAATGCACAGGAGATTGACTTGAAGGCAATGTTTGGTTATGGGTTTCAGAATCAACCATCTACCTCTCAAACTGGCTCCGATAGTACGATTTCTTTCAAGTCAATGTCATTGGATGAAAATCCACCGCGACCGAAACCAATGGCAACAGCACAGAAGTCGCTTCCTACATCCCAGAATACTACCATGATGCAAATCACAAGTGCAGCTGATCTTGAAAGCAACTGGTTCTCGAACTCGACTGAGGCACCAAGTCTGGCTTATTCTATCCCGTCAGTAAGTTCCAAGGATGTTCCCAGTTTGGCCGAGATTCAAAATGAAGAACGAAAAAGGCTGAGCAAGGAGCAATCGAAGCTAGAGCAGCAACAGGAAGCGACCAGAAGTTCCCGTCCGAAACCCAATGCGACAGGTTCTGCGTGGAATGTTGTTCATGAAAACACGACGCCAGTTGACCTAGCAGCTTTTCTAGGTCCACCGGAACCAAAGAAGCAACAGAATCATGCAAAAAACTATCTGTCGAAGGTAGTGGAACCAAGCGCTGCACAAGCGAACAGTGTGTCGTCACACAGACATGGTAGTGCTATTAACGGAAATTCAGATCTAGGTATGTCATTAAACACAGATATGTTCAGAGCGTCTGAAGATAAGGCGCCCGAAGTGCAAGGGAAAAAGTCACAAAACCAAATGCAAAACACAAAGAAAGCCAAAAAGGAGAAACAGCAGCAGAAATCTATCAAGAATTTATTCATGCCGAACCAAGTGAGCGCCGAAGATGAGTTCCAGGGATGGTGCTTGGACCAAATATTCACAATTGAAGCTATTGGAGATGATATAGATATCCCGACGTTCGTGGAAATGTTAAAAGAGTTTGACTCTCCGTATGAAGTTCACGACACAGTCAAGCAGTTTCTTGGCGACACCAAAGAGTGTCAAAACTTTGCAAAGGAATTTATCAGCAGAAAAGCCAAGCTAAGCCAGGGCAATAAAAAAGAAGTCAAAGCTAATCCAGTCGCGGACACTTTTGCGCCTGTTCCACCTCCGGAACCTCATCGTCAACAACGAAATCATACTGGATTCTCTGCCACAAACAACTCGACTTCGAGCAACAATCAAATGCAGACCTCCCATGGAAGTAATTGCAGACCATGGCACAACCAACCTCCGACCAACCAGATGAGTTTACCGCAGCCGGATAAGACTCCTCCGGGCAAGAGTGAACCTCCAGATGGTAACAAAAGTGGCTCAAAGAAAGGCAAACAAAAGAAGGGTCAGAAAATTAACCCCGCGTCCCTGCTACACATTTCCACGCAGCCCTCGGCTGACAGGGTGAAAATTGGGGAAATCGAAAAGGCAGGGTAGCGATCTGCCCGTACATCGTATCAGTGTATTTGTCGTCAACTCCCCCAAGCTATCTGTATTTTAACTTTCATGGTACTGCTGCTTGTATCTATGCCTTGGTGTAACAAACAACCCAAACGTAAATGTCGCATTTCAGCCATTCTTATGCAATGATCTTGGTTCCTCCTACTACGATATATCATACCAACTGAAGAAGGGCATGTATTATCTGGTCTTTTCGATGTCATGATGTCCTGTCAAAACCATTTGGACGGTGGTCTCCGATTGGCAAACAAGTCAACTGGATGTTTCGATCGACGTATTTCTTTTCTAGACGGGCCTCGTGCTGAATCTATTTATGTTGCCAGTACAACTACCAACGTTGCTCTTTTCTTGCTGTTTTTGCCTCACATGTCGACAAGTAGTGGGAATGTCTCGGCAGTGGATAGTTAATTTTGTTAATATGTAAAACTTGTTTTCTAACACTTCCTCGAATTATCGTCGTTGCTAATCGATACATTACATCAAAATGGCAATTGTAAATTCAGTTTTTTAAACTGCTGACTCTTTTTTCTGCAAAGAGAGTAAGTTAAATTTACTTAATAGCATAATAAGTAATACTGAAAACGGTTGAGCATTTCGTACGTGATCGATCTAAGGTTTTGTCGGAGATTTTTAACATCAATTTGTTTCGAAGCTCGAAAAAGAACCATATTTTTTGCTCCTGTCTCATTTGCAAAAATGAGTTTTCGACGCCTTCGAATGATATCAGATTAAAGCTCTCGCAGTCGAGATTCGAGATAAATCAGCTACTGTGTCTGCATGGGGTGAAAGTGTTTTTCTAAACTAGTGTATCCGAACCGGTATCCCAGATTTTTTTGTTTTGAAGTTCCATTTTGATGTCCGAATCAAGACCCAAAGCGATCACATGATTTTTTTTTAGATCCACCACAAAGTTTCGTTGGGGTTATAAAAACTTACGTGGAAGTCTAGAAGTCATAGACCCTTCCAATTCGGAGTGGTTTTAACAATAAACAGAAAACTTCAGAGTAATTTATACTAATTTAAGTTGAGTTAAAAACATTTAAGTCGAGGTAAGTGCGAGTTATTTTCAGTGAAATCGGGAATAAATTATTTCGAAGAGCTTAGTTTGGGTCCTCAGTTTGGTAAGTTTTGTAAAAATTGTCAATCATTCTCAAAATCGGATTCTTTCTTTCTTAAACATACGATCAAGTGTTACTGATATTTCTTGCCTCGTTCGAGGGAACTTGCGATCCGACTTGTCATCTCCGTCATCCGGACTCACAGTTCGGTTGATTCGCTTTGGGCTATTGGGCAGATCGCGTGAGCTTATCGGCTTGCTCGTCCCTTCATTCATGAGGTCGTCCTCTTCGTTGTCTCCTGGATTAACCAAAGCAGAGTGACCTATCCAGTCAGTTATAGAGCAATCAGATTGGTAATTTTTCACTGTTTCATAGTTAAATTTTTTTATTTGCGTTTTTCGGTTTGTCTTAAACATCAATTTTTGTGATCCATAGTTAAATGTTAAACTGTTTTCTTGACAAAAATGATAATTTTATTGCTTCAAAATTGACGATTATTATAGATTTCATATTACGTTATTCAGTTTGCTTACTGTTCAGATGCCAAAATTTGGAACAATTTTTCACTTTTTTCAAAAATTTAGTTCAAAAACTACTCGACCAATGTTTATAAAAGTGGTACCAATGGAAATTCCGCCCAGTCTTTTGTATACCTGTATAATCCACTAGTCTCTTTTTGACTAAAATCACTTCCTACAGCCTTCGAAAAAGTGTGAGGGGGGAGTTTTTGACCCAATTTTTTTTAAAATTTTTTTTCGAAAAAACCCCACCCTAAATCTGAGATTTTGGGTTCAACGGATAGAACAGGTTGTGAAAAGCTCGCCTACATAAGCGGCTACACCTTTTTTGCACAAAAAGTTATGGCCCTCAGAAAAGTCAATTTTTTCGATTTTTTTGACCGTTTCTTAAACTTTTTGACTTCTCTCAAAAACAACCCTCCCAAATCTGTGATTTTAGTTTCAATCGAAAGGATGGGTTATGAGAAGCTCCTCTGCGTAAGCGGTTACGCCCAATTATTTTGTCCAAAAAATGACCCTCGGAAAAGTCGAATTTTCTATTTGTTTTTACCTTTTCTTCAAACAGACTTTTTTTTTGAAAAACTGCCCTCCCAAATCTGAGATTTTAGGTTCAACGAATAGAAAAAGTTGTGGAAAGCTCCCCTGCATAAGCGATGGCACCCAAATTTTTTCGCACAAAAATTTATGGTCCTCGGAAAAGTCGATTTTTTTATCTGTTTTGAAACTTTGATTTTTTCGAAAACTACTCTCCCAAATCTGAGATTTTGGGCTCAACGGATAGAAAATGTTGTTGGAAGCTCACCTGCATAAGCGGTGACGCTCAATTTTTTTTTGCAAAAAATGACCCTCGGAAAAGTCGAGTTTCGATTTTTTGATCTTTTTTGGAACGACTTTTTTTTCGAAAAATAATCTCCCGGGATTTTAGGTTCAACGGATAGAGAAAGTTGTGGGAACCCCCCCCCCCCCCGCATTAGCGATGGCACCCATTTTTTTCGCACAAAAATTTATGGTCCTCGGAAAAGTCGATTTTTTTTTTTATCTGTTTTGAAATTTTGATTTTTTCGAAAACTACTCTCCCAAATCTGGGATTTTGGGCTCAACGGATAGAAAAAGTTGTTGGAAGCTCACCTGCATAAGCGGTGACGCTCAAATTTTTTCTGCAAAATTTGAATTTTTGATTTTTTGACCGCTTGATTTTCCTCTCGAATGTTATCCTGCCAAATCAAACTCCAAAACATGGCTCCTAGTTATTGTATTAGAGAACCAACTGAAGTTTTGGGTGAAGCCCAGTTTTTGAAATTTTCCCTTTCCCTTACACATCAGTTAAAAAAATCAAAAATTATCAAACAGGTGTTTCCAGCTTTAGCTGGCCTCTAGTTATTCAGTTTGCTTACCGTTCAGATGCCAAAAATATACTAGCAGGAGTTGTTTCACTTTTCGCAGAAATTGGTCCCGCTCCAATTCCACCGAAGGAAGCCTTCTAATTCGCGTGATGTCGAAAAAGAGATCCCTGGCGCTGGAATTCCTCTCTAGTAAAGTGCCAGTGTCTCTGTTTCGTTGACTCTGTTCTCTATTTTTCTTCGTTTTTTAATTTGTGATTTTTAAGTGTAAAAAAAACGAAGCGATTTTTACTTAAGTAAATAAGTAAAGTCGTGATGTTTTCAGGAAAAAATCTGTTAATTTGTTGACGCTCAAATTTGATTTTTTAGCGGTTTTTTTTTCATTCCTTTTCAAGTTCAGTTCTTTTTCTTTGTTGTAAAGAAGCTAAACTCAGCTATCAACAACAAAAAAATGTCAGGGCCACAAATTTGACTGATTTCTATCTTTCAGAAATGGTCTTCTTTTTGTCTGAATTCTCAGCGGAATTAAAAAGCTATCTATTGATTCCTTTTTTTCGCATAAGTTTAGCGTGAAAATCAAAAAATTTAAGCCTGAGAGAGATTTCAACGCTTTTGATTTCGTTTTTAGATTTTTTGGCAATGATTTTTTGATTGGAATAGTTTTGCTTGCCCCCCAAACCAGCTTGTCTTGTTTAACAAGGTCTTATTGATTATTTCGAAGAAGAACCCGCTGTCGTCTTTTTGAGTTCCATATCCGTACATTCTCTTATAAGCTGTCAGTGTATCTGGGTACACGAGATGTTCGTCTTCGCAACTAAATGCGATTAAAACTGCTAAAATTACACCGCGTCATTTTTACTCTTTTTTTCGTAAGAGACCTAAAAATTCGTTTAGATTACTAAATCACTTTATGTTTTGCTGTTTTTGTTGTTCCGACCATCGAAAATGGGGCAAAACTTTCTTTGTCATCGTGTGTGTTTTAATTTTTCCCCCTATGGTACCTTGTAACGAACTCCCCCCCCCCCCCTATAAAGAAACTGAACAGTTAAGCGTATAAGAATTTTGTTCCGTGTTAACTTTCACCCCTCCCTATTGCAATAGTTTAGTTAACAAGATCCCTTTTTTGCTTGCCTCGCAAAATGAGTTATCCAAAATTACCATTGGAATGGGTCGAGTGATATATTTTATTGGAACCTTTTCTCAGTCGTGATTCGAACGATATTAAACAGCGTCGAATGCAACTGGTTCGAATTTTTTGAGTTTCAGTCTCATTTCGAGCGAACATAGTCTGTGAAGAGCACTACAAAATCACTTTGAATATTTTCATTTAAATGGTGAAAAGTATAGTTGATTTAGCGCTTCCTTGGCAAGAAAAAGTTTCTTTAAAACAATCAAAAGACTATTCTACCAAAAAAGAAGAAATTTGCTTTAATTTTTTTGTTATTTATTTCTTGAAGCTAACTGTTGTCAGTTATGCCTAATTCACTTAAGTTTTATGCATTCGTATAGTTCTCTCATCTCACCGCGCTCAAAAAACGGAACAATTTTGAAAAAAAAACTTTTTTCGATGTTTTATTATGAATATGGTGTTAAATTCGGTGCTACTTTCACAGCAACCGGCTATCTTTGTTACTCTTGCTATTAGAAATATAATTGTAATCGGGGAGTTCTGTCGAAAAGTAGACAATCTTTATTTCATACTTGTCAAAAGTAGTCAAATACAAATATTAACCAGTCAGAATCAATATAAGAAAAACAATTGTATGCAAGAATAACAAAACTGCTCATATCAGGGCGAAACCCTGAATGTTCCGACTGCCTTTTAAGATCAATGGAGCAATAATAACATGAAAAAAATAAATGCAATTAAATAAAACGAAAAAAATATATATTATTATCTATCTATCTTTCTATCTATTATTTGATTGGCGTTTCATGTGACACATGTTTAAGAAGTCCCTGTTTAAGAGAACTCTATCTTTGCATGTTTAAACTTTTCAACGTTTTATTTTTCTTGCATGTTTAACGAAAGTATTTTTGCACGTTTAAGCTGTATCGTTTATTGAAACGCTTAAGAAATTTCATTTAGCTCAGGTTTAAGAAGTCCTTATGCTGGTCTGTTGAAAGGCCAAAATATGCAAGGCATGAAAAGTTTTCCGAAGTCAGCGTTTCAAAATCTGATGGAGCTCGAATGCTTCACATTTTTTCCTTTATTCGCAACGTAAAACTATCACAGTTTTTGTTTCACAGTTTACTTATAATTTTGAATTTCGCAACCCTATAGTGGAGTGCTATCAGGGTACACTCAAGGACTGCAAATCTAGCGTCTAAGTATGACTGCTCAAATATTTATGGTTATCGAGACAGCGTTTTCTATGATTTCTCGTTTTTTCTCAAAAAAAGTTAGGTATAAAAAAACTAACCGAACTTGAATTTCTCAAATATATAGTGGGTTGCTGTTAGGGTTCATTCAAGGGCTGCAAATCTGGCGTCCAAGTATGACTGCTCAACTTCTTTTGACTTTCGATATATGGCGTTTTTTTATGGTTTTTTCATTTTTTTTTTTCAAAAAACTTAGATATAAAAATTCAAGTTTGGTTAGTCTTTTTTTATCTAACTTGAATTTCTCAACCCTATAGTGGGGTGCTATCAGAGTACCCTCAAAGGCTGCAAATCTAGCGTCGAAGGATGACTGCTCAAATAATTATGGTTTCCGAGACAGCGTTTTCTATGATTTCTCGTTTTTTTCTCAAAAAAAACTAGGTATAAAAAAACTAACCGAACTTGAATTTCTCAAATATATAGTGGGTTGCTGTTAGGGTTCATTCAGGGGCTGCAAATCTGGCGTCCAAGTATGACTGCTCAACTCCTTTTGACTTTCGAGGTATGGCGTTTTTTATGATTTTTTTTCTTTTTTTTTTTTTTTCAAAGAAACTTTGACATTAAAAAACTAATCGAGCTTGAATTTCTCAACCTTGTAGTGGGTTCCTGCCAGGGTACATTCAGGGGTTGCAAATCTGGAGTCCAAGTGTAACTGCTCAATCTTTTTATTTTTCAAGAAATTTGGCTTGTCAGTTTTCTGAAGAATTGGTTTTGTAGCACCGGAGGTGCGATTGACGCGCTAGTTTTTTTTTTAAATTTGAGATTTTTTTAATGAAAATCATCCCCCCACACGCTATATAAAGTACAAAAGGATAGATTTCGTTCCTTGTAACATATCAATTATGGCAAATAAGCTTCTTTTAACCAATTTGGAACGATTTCTAAGACGGATTAACTCTCCGCTTACGCGTTAATAGCGCGAAATATATCGCGCGTTAATTGTCCCAAATTGGCCAAAATGGCTATCTTTAAACCCCCTTAACTTTATGAAAAATGATCATAGGTGAAATATGTTTTCAATTTTAAGCTCAGGGTAAGAATACCTTTTGAATGATATCCAAAAAAAAATCCGTCAAAAATGGCTAGTTCAAGTCGAAATTTGTCTGAAGAAAAAACCCACCCCGAGCACAAATGTTCCGTTACTTTCGTTACGAAAGTCGGAACAATAAATAATTATTTCCAACGGTTGGTTTTCTGAGCTCTAAAATTCCCTCACATCATCAAACTCAATCTGCTACTAGATTGTTTTAAAAGATGAAAAAATAAGGGAGCTTTTGCTGGTATAATTTGCCGTCGGCGTACTTTTTAGATGCAAATATTTTTGTACTAGAGGATTGTGGACTCAAAGCACAAAGTTCAGCGATGCATGTGGGGTGAAATGCTTTGAGTCCACCAAAATTAAGTGGAACGAAATGTATGAGGGGTCGAAACCTGCCATATTGCTTCAGAATCGCTGTTATTTGAAGGCGACCAACCTTTGATAATTTTGTGCAGTTTTCGAGCTTCTTCTTTGTCAGTAGGAAGTGCTTGTAAGTGAATGCACATGTAAAAAGAGTCCATGAATTTCTTGTTCTCCAGTAGAGGTATCCTTTCTTCGACTTCGTTTTCAGCTCCATTAGTTTCAAAGGATGTCTTTTCTCCTGTGGAATTGACGCGATTTGTTTGTATTTTATGATTTTGGTGCGATATTGCTGCTTCATTGTAATGAGATCGTTTGGTCTGTGTTTTGTTTGTAAGTTTGCTGGTAGTATTTGAAGGCGCTCTCTTGCGGTTGCGATATAGTTCAATCTTAAAATAAGCGATTTTTGTTCAAGAATGCAACTTAAAAATAAGTGATTTTTGCATAATTCGTTTTGACCTGTGAGTGAAAAGAGAAGAGATCAGTCTTACCCTTCTGGATTTGTGACCCATCAAATCGTTTTTGACCTTGGAAGGAGGTTGCCACTTGGCTGCTTTTCTGTTACAATCAAGACCTAGAGACCTTCAAAAAAAAGACCCCCTGACCAACCAAAGGGTCCCCATTCAGTAATATTTTATGAAATCTATTTTCGGCTGACCAACCCTTAGATTTTTCTAAAGGCGCCTACGGTACTAGCATATACTAATTTTGAAGGGGAGCGCGAGCCGAAAAAACGCAATATTTTGGTCAAATTATTTCTGTTACACTAGTCTTTATAGTAAACAAGATAAAAGGTAAACAACGTTTTTAAAATTTTGTTAATCCACCCCCTCGAGAAAATCCTAGATCCGCTCCTGCTTGTGGTGTTTGTTCCCTCTTTCTATAATCTAAAAAGGATCTTGCTAACTATCCCCCCGTAGTATCTAGGAAAAAATTTCCACTCCTATAAAAAAGAATGTAGCGATTAAGCATAAAAGAGTTTCCTATTTGTAACCAATTGGGTGAAGGCATAATTAATAACATCCTGTTAATATAGTTCTTCGTCGGAAAAATTAGATGATATTATGATTCTCTTTATGAACAACTGTTTCGTCCTATCACAAAAATTGGGGACTTGTTACTAAAAGAAATTAGGGATCGTTGAATTAGTCCTTTACAGGGTTGAATAATCGTTATTAGGTGATTTAAGGGAGGATAGTTAAAGAGATCCGATATTATTTCAATTTTAAGGTCAAGATTGGTCAAATACTCTTCGAAACTGTTCCCAGAATGCTTGGATTTTTTGTTTCCCATTAGGCAATCATGCTCGAGTATCTTGTTTTCATCTGAGTTAAACGAAAATATGCACACATTGACGACAAGGGCTCCAAAATAAGAAGAATAAATAAATAAATTAAACAGAAGTCAAATGCTGTAGTGTGGAAATCAAACGGACTTGATTAAAATATAGCTTAGAGCACTTCAAATCTTTGGAAAATAATTTGAGTTAAAACTGCAAAGTAGTTAAGTATGATACAAATCTAGCTGGCTAGGAAGAAAAATAGATTTGATTCAATTCAATTATTGTCTTTCAGGTTAGAAATTTGTACTTTTATTTTTTGCATCGGTAATTTTTTTCCGTGCTTTTATTTTCCTCTTCTTCGGCGGTGCAGTGCATTTTCCCTCCGAGGGATGCACAAAAGACTAGGCACTGGCAGTATGTCCAGTGGATCTTCACAGAACCAGCAGAGCCAATACCAAAATTACAGCAGCCCCAATTCCAGCTACTCTAACGGATCCTGCAGTGGTGGAAACTTCAAAGTTGGAACTTTGGTTTCGTACCCAAAAGTTATTCTATTTGGAGACTCCCTGACTCAGAAATGCATGCACCCCGAAGCCAACTGGGGCGCCCTAGTCGCGGACTTTTTAGCCCGAAAGTGTGACGTCATTGTGAGGGGGTACTCGGGCTACAACACGCGAAAATGTCTCGCTTTGCTTCCATATCTGTTCGACGGCATCAATTTTTCAAACAACGTCGCAGCTCTACTTATATGTCTGGGTATGTAGAAGAAACTGGATTTTTCCCCAATATTTGGTTATATTTTGAGTAGGGGTGGATATTTTTTAATGGGGCTGCACAGTTTCTTAGGTACCGAACGGAGAGCTTTTTTTTCAAATTGTTGGAGCCATATTAGAAGTCTATTTGGGTCTTTTTTGTTCAATTTTATGTTTAGGAACAAACGATGCATCGGCGGGACAAGGCAACGAAAGTCACGTGCCGGAAGAAGAGTTTGTCGAGAACCTTCTGATGATCGGCGAGTATTTCGTATCACGCGGACTGAACCCGTCCAAAATTATCATGACTGGACCTCCTGGCTTCCATGCTCCCCTTTGGGAGGAAAAAGCGAAAGCGATGGGTCTGTCGAACCACATCAGAACAAATGAGCTGAACCAGAAATACAGCAATTTGGTCAACGAAGTCTGCAAACATCTGAAGTGTCGAAATATTCCTCTGCATGCAAGGATGATTGCCGCTGATAATTGGCAGGAAATGTTAATTGATGGACTGCATTTTGGACCGCTCGGGGCTCAGTTTTACTTCAACTTGCTCCAGCCACATTTGAGCCACTTGACTTACGACATACCTCAATTGATGCCAAACTGGAAAGAGTTTGACGCGGCGTATGGCAACAAACACGGAGACCCCGACAGAACGGTCAACGAATGGATTGATAATAACCCGTATTTTTCGCAGTAGTGGAAAAAAGAATGCTCTGTCAAACTATACGTTCTTTTAAAATAAAAACTGGCCAAAATATGCGTGGGAAACTGTCTTATCTTTTCTGCTATCACTGTAAAGGTTTTTTTTTGATTTCTCAATTTAAATGGAGAATCAGACATTTGTGTTTCGAATATAAATTACTACTAAGAATATTTGAGCTGTATCTGTCTGTTCTAGTATCTTTTTTGAATCTTCCTTGGCTGATTCTTTGAGTAAACGAAAAGCTTTCCGAACTCTGTTTTTTTTTTAACGAAGCTATTGGAGTTTCATTGATTTCGAGTGTAACTTCTAGTTTTTTCTACAAAAAAGTCAAATTTTTTAGTTGTTACTTCCAAAAGAAATGGATTCCAAGCTGAATGATGTAACGGTCTGCTAAGATTGGACATCAAATGATAACAATTTGTTTTAATAGGCAGCTCTTTATTAAAGAAACGAAAGCTTGCTGTTGCTTAGAAATTCAGATTTGTTGAAATTAAAAGCTTCATGTTTTTTGCAAAAAAAAGAGAAACAATGGTATAATCATGCCGAAGGATCATGGAAAGTCTAGGCGAATCAGAAGTAGATTTTGCATAAAAGCAAAATCCTTGCTATTTCTCGTTCCGTCCAATTGACGTAGGTATAGGAAAGACTACTGGTTTTGGATGTTTCTTCGTCAAAGTTTTTGGCAGTCTAACGTCAAAGTTAACGTTTTTTTTTTGGCAGTAACATTTTTGGCAGTCTGACGCAGGTTCATGACTCGATTTCTCGTTTTGCTACAATCACCCTCGAAAGAGTGGTGGCAGAGATATATATTTTGGTGTTTTTGGGGCCTATTCGTATGTACCCCAAATTAACTTCGTAGTAAGTTAAATGCAGTTGTTTGAATTAATTGATAAAGATATTATCGCCGCGGTCAAAAATAGCTATGTCGGTATGAATAAATGAAGACAATTCATCCACAGCTATTCGATTTATCCTGTTCAGCTCTTCGTGGAGAATTGCTGCTGTGCCCTTTGTTAAAACTAACATGCAGTTTTCTGGCTATTTTGCGCTGTGTAATATTGCCTCACCCTCAAGCAGCGAGCACGGATGTCCAGTTTTATTACTAATAAGTTAACACAGTCAGTTTTTTGTCTAATTCATCGAATGCACTGAAAATAACCAGTAATTTTTGTAGCGCTCGCGTTTTCTCAATTTTTAAAGCAAAATTGTGTTAAAACTCGGTGTTTCTCTTTGTGATGGCCGTCTAAAAAGAACCAATTAAATTTTTCAGTCTATATTGCTAATAAGACAAGCGTACAGTTTTTCCACAAATGAGTAAACTGCGAAACTTAAATATAATTCACTTAGGGAAAGTATTAATGAAAGTCAAATATTTGACGAAAAAGGGACAATTTTCAAACCCGGGAAAAAAGGGAAAAAATACTCTGGATTATTTTGATTACACTTGAGAGAGCAGGTGTATTGTAATGGGGAACTAGACTCTTTTTCCACTAAACAACTTTTCTTTCAAATTTGGAAAAAAAATTGATGCTCCATTATTGAACCTTCGCAACTTCCACGCACCATCCCAATTGGTTTCGAGGTAAGGCAGTTTTTTTGCAGCCTATGGTTTCGATTTCAAGTCTCGGCCGGATCTTGTTTTTTCTCAGTATCTATAGTCTGTCTATAATTTGTCGGCTTATAATTTGTTGGCTTAGTTGCTACACCATGGATGTTTTTTGCAAGGTATAGTTCTTTCAATGTAGTCTCGAGTTTTGTTGATCAACTCCTGTAGTTTTTAAATTTACTAGCCCTAACTGGTGTATTTTCCGTTTTTTTCAGAAGAGCAAGCTGAAAAATTTTCAGGCAAACTAGTTTTACAGACTCATTGGGAGGCCCAAAATGTGCACTGGATAGGCGCACAATCCGGCGTTTGTTAAAATTTTGTCACATAATAAATTTTTGTCACATGTTAAAATCTTGTCACAACGATCAGCGAAAACGAAAGAAAAGAAGAAAAAATAGAGCGGCCTTGTTGCGGAATCCGCTTACAATTCACAAGATACCTAGGTGGCGTCGTGATGTTAAAGGAAATATAGTAAAACACCATGACTAAAAGTGCTTAAAAATGATGAATTTTTTCATTTTGCGTGGTCAAAACTTACGAGTTTACAACTAACTCCTCTCCATAGTTTTTTCTTACGATGATGGAAACGTATCGAGTTTGGAATTAAAAGTAAATAAGTACTGCCTCGTTGTCCGCTCAATTGTTCCAGGATTAGCTGAATTGTTTTTAGAAATTTCTGTTAGCCTTGAAGTTTGATTGGTAATAAATTATCGCAGTTAATTCATCGAATGAACCAAAAAAAGTGATTCGATTCACATTCTGTTCAAAAATCTTGAAAAAATCTTGCTTCTAGATTTCAAAGCTTGTTCAATCGTCATATTTTAGAACGGTTACTAGTTAGAAAACTTTTTGGATCATCGCGGACTCTTTTCCATACTTGAGATAATCCAAAGAAAACTCAAATACTCAAAGCCTCAATGAATTTTGTCCAGTCGTGTTTCGAGTTTAGAGAGAAATACTAAGTTGACATTCCCAATTTATTATCCTCAAATAATTCACAGCGATAGAACGGCCCATTGTTTTTGTTATTTAATCCCTTGTGATAGTTGTATAATTCAAATAGACAAACTTCAAATTGCACAGAATAATCCTAATGGCACGAGTTTACAGGCAAACTATCGAAAAGTTTCATTTTTTGAATTTTGTGGTTCCAAAATTTTTTTGTTTTTACCAATAAATATCTAAAATTATGTTTTTTTGCAATCCTTCTATTTTGGACAAATATATAACATGCTGGAATTGCATGGCTTCTTGCTGGTAGAAGCATGCTTATTTTAGAGAAGCCAGGAGCTCTGCACGCAGGGAAGTATCTTGGATTTTCTCGATAGGAGGAGTTAGTTTTCAAAAAAACTCAAAGAAATTGATTTTCGGATCTCTTCTAGAGCCCTAAAAACACCCTAATTTGGACAAAATTTCAGCGTGGCAACCAACATTTTTCAAGTAACAGGGCAAAAAAGTGTTGGTACTTTTTGTAATATTTCGATTAAAAAAATGCTATTTTTTGGCGCGCGTTTTCCCTTCAAAATTATTAAACAGAGGCGCCAAAAGCTCTTTTAAAGATTTTACGGTCCGTCTGCCAAAAATGGATATCTCAAAGTAGTACAAAGGTGGACCTTTTGGTTCGGCAGGAGGTTGTACCCCTGAAAGGAAAAGCGTGTGAAAGTATCCGCCCCGTGTGGAAGTATTTCAAAAATTTCTCATGCCATTTAAAATGGCATAAAAAGGCAACTAACGTGAAAAAGTTAACGTGAAAAACCCAATTAACGTGAAAAATTCATTTATATAGCTGTTATTTGAATTATCACTCCTTTTCGTGCAAAATTGCTCAGCCGTGTACACGTTCAATCAATAACCTAATTTCTAAATAATTTCTCAGAAGTTGTTCTTCGCTTTGATTTTTTTTTTTTTAATTCTGATGTTTCTGAAAATTGATAGTTTAGTTTTTCGTAGAAAACTATTTGGCGATAAACGTAGCAATTTTTTGTTTAACCATTAAAAAGGAGATGGTTTTTGCTTTCGTGTGTTTTTAAGTTTTTTTCAGACAGTAAATTACCACGGATAATTTTCAGAATGGAACGCTGATACATCCGTTTGAATCCTTTTCAATCCTTACTTGAACCAAATTAAAATGTTTTTTTTTCAGCGTCAAGAAACTTCAACTGGTTTGGAGATTTTGCTTTTTAATCTTATTTCGAGCGGGTATATTGAGCAAGAAATTAAAAAAAAAACGTAATTCTATTTCAATTTCAAAAATCAGTTACTTGTTATTAGTTTTCATTCTAGCAGTTTTATACCTGATTTCTGCTTTCTGTAAATCTGATATCTGTAAATTCAGAAAAAAATGAAAAAAGTACAGAATTGAGTTTTTCCGTTAATCGTAAAAGTTTTGTTATTTTTTTAGATGAGTAGGTCGGAACAGTTTGTAATACTAACATAGCAACCGGCTATCTTCATTTTTCTACGTCTTCACTGGACAGTATTTTCTGCTTTCCGATTTCAAAAATTGCTCGCTCCTGCATTTAATGTTAAAATTAAAAAATTTTGTCGCGTAATTTTGATCGGAGTAAATAAGTTTGTGGCTCAAATTTTTCATTGTGCCCTTATTTCGAAACGCAACGATATGTGTCATAAGAGGTGTTCACGAAGTAACCAAGTGAGTTAATCAGTTTGTTTTTTCTTCCGACATACTGCCTTGATTTAACTTAACTTTTCGTATATCAAGGAGAAGCTCTAATTTTTCCGGCTGCATTTTAAGGGCTATTTAAAAGGTTTTTAGTTAAAAAAATAACGAAATAATCAAAAGAAATACAAATTTTTTTTTCACCTTTCATTTTATCACTTAAAGGTGTCTTTAAAAGGACTAAAGTGCTGATCCTAATTTAAATTAGAACCCATTATTTTGCCGCTAACGCTTGCTGTAATACACATTATATCTCACCTTAAGGATCACAAATTGACCAAGTTAGAAGTTTTCAAACACCTTTGACTTAACGAAGAATAATCACAGGTGGAATGTTTTTTCAAGTTTGAGCTAAAGGCAACAATATCTCCAGATGGCACAAAAAAGTTGGAACAACAATCGGAATGTTGCAATGATCTGAATCTTCCGATTTGTTTGAGCTTCGCTAATGAAAATTCAAGTTATTCTTCAAAATGTTCAGATTTTTTTCAGTTTATTCTTCGCTAAGCGCGAAAGTTGCAATATCTGTTTAGTTTGAAAATTGTTCGAACCTGCGCTCACATCCTACAAGTTTGTGAGCTGTTGTTAAATGTATTACGCGCAGAAAGTTGATCCGAAATGCGATTTCTTTAACCCCTTTTGAAAATTTCAAGTGCTCACAATTAAAAAGAATAAACTTAAGAGGGATTTTTTGCCTGTTTTGGCTATCTTCTGCCTTGTTTCAAAATTTTTCATAGTAAAACTTGGATTTTCTTCCACACAAAACACCAATTCTTATATGTGCTGGATGCTTGCTGCTGAAACATAACAATGCCTGAATTTTCTGTGAAATACATGGATTTCACTCACAAGTTTAATTTGACCTCAGTTCAATTTTATTCAACAGAAACAAAGTTTTGGATAAAACTATTTTAGAAGTTTTGAGAGAAAAAGACAATCTAAAACTTCCCAATTGACATTTGTAGCAGAAAAAATATCCTTTTTTCAGTTTTTTTTGCCAAATATCGACCCGTTCCACCAATCAGGTTTTTTGTTCCAGCATCAGTTTTCCGAACTATATTGTTCCTGTTCAAAACAAAAAAAAAACAGTTTTTGAAAACAATTTCGTTTAAAATTTGAGGAATAATAGCATTGGAAAAATTAGTTTTCTTTAAAAAAAACTCTTTAATTGCTAATTCAGCTCTGAAACATTTCATATGCGCTTCATTTATTAAATGATTGGTTGTTTAAACTTAAATTTGAATCCGGATCTACTTAATAATTTTAGTTAATGGTTAAGTATGGTAATTATGGGTTAGGGTAGTCGAATTTTTGACTATTCAGAATGCAGCAACCACTCGGGTAACTGTTAAGCAGATTAAGTTAGACAATTTTCTGACCAATCAGAATGCAGCAAATTTCGGATTATAAATGGATCTTTTTAGTGCTAATTAACTGCTTTATTATAGGGGTAGAAATTCTTTAGTAGATATTGATTGGGGGTGCGATTGTTTAGTAGATCCTTGAAGTTTTATTTAAGATTAACATATCAGAATCAAAAGTGTTTGTTTCTGTTTTAGTAGTTTGAAATTTGGGCGACATAGTTTTGAAAAATCAAAATAAACTTCAGTTGTAACAGCAAAACTTGTCTGAAGAAAAGTGTTTCCTGATAATATGACCTCCGCTAAGTTTTGGTTATTAACATTATTCTGCAATGAAACAAAAGTGAATCTTGAATTTTTGAAAATAGAAGTATTCAAAAATAGAGTCTTTCAAAACAAGGTAGGTTAATCGGTTGCAAGTACCACAGAAAATTTCGACCACCACTTAAAAGAAAAAGAAAACTTTTTTCTTTTAAGTTGTCTTTTTTGTTCGCGGTGTAATGAAAGCAGCTGAACGAAAACAAACTTTTAAAAAAAAGTCTGGTCGTCACTGTTGTTATACACACTCCATCCTATGGTGTTATGTAACCAATTGTTTACTAGTTTGAACTAATTCACCGTCCTAAGAAGGGCATAGCGTCAATTCGTCGCATCAATTTTCGACTTGTTAACTAAGCATTTTTGACGGATTTCTTATACCATCTGCGAAACATAAGTATCCTAGGCTCAAATTTATACGGATATATCACCTGTGATTATTTTTGGTTACGTTACATGAGTTTGAAAATTGCTAATTCGGCCAACTTGGGATAATTAAAGTGCGATATATTGCTTACTAATAAGACGCGTAAGAAGCAAATTAAGGCGTTCCAATTTGAATTGAGAACAGGAATTTGATCCTAGTATCACAATACGAGACGCTAAACACGCCCCTAGTGCTTTACATAGTGTGTGGGGGGATAAAATGAAGAAAACATCCTTAAAAAATTGTCTTTTTTAATTAATTGGTCAATTATTCAGCCAAAAAAAAATCAATTGGCCTTAAGTGCAGTCGGGACATTCAGGGCTTTGACCTGATATAAGAGCAGTCTTGTTAGAATTTATTTCTTGAACTTGCATATCAAGTCCCACACCCGCTAAGATATGGTCGTTTGGTTACTGTGAACTGCTAAATGAAACTGTCGCTTTTTGAAGTGTCACCAATTGTCGCTTGCGACTAATTGTCGCCTCACGCGGAATATCAGTTCGTTTTTTTTCTGCGCGGTTTTAAACTTTTACCGCCGCCTGACCGCTTATTTTTTGAATAATATTTCTGAATGCCTTGCAGAATGGAATATATGTTCCTCTAAGTTTGTTTGCAGAATTTATGATCCGATTCGCTTGATTGTTTACTACTTGTTCATGAGTTTTTAATGACTTGGATTCACATACCATCTTAGGACTTTGGTACCGTGCGAGCATCTTACAGTTCAGCTGGTCGAAGGAATCACAAGACGAATGTGAAAACTTCTTTGAACTTTTATTATTAAATTGTTCAAAACAGATCACTGTCGTTACGATTAACTCAAAAACTTCATCAGGTGAGGGGATTAGTTGCTATGGTTCTACTAAGCCCTATACTTCAACAATTTGTTCACCCGTTGAATGAATCATACTTTTAATCTGTTTTCTTCAAACCTACTCAGCTATAAGATACGCAAGCGATCGTAAAGCGCTGTTTAAACATCTTGAAGCAGTTGCATCTTGCTATCAGATTAGAGACTCTTTTGCATGGGGTATACAATGACCTTGAAAGCGGGTTGACGTAAGCTGTAGTGAAAACCCTGCAAAGCAGTTTGGATTTCGTTTTTGGCAGCTGTCGGCTCTGTTTTATCTTTGTTAGATTATTGCGAACTGAATCAGTTTGGTGAAGTTTAACTTCAATCCGTTGAATTGGTAACATTTGCAATATGTTCATTTTGGCACCGTCGCTCAAGGTTAATCATCTGTAAAATGTAACATAAGTTTGAGAGAACTGAATTTTACTTTTACTTACTATAATTAACGTTCAATTTTGTTTGTCCCGACTCAAATCTTTGACATTTCCATCAAAAGTACCAACTCCGAAGCCCCTAACGCAATAGTCGGTCACTAAATTTTGTTCAGATTGTCATGTTCCAATGTTTAACTTTACTCTCGAATCTTTGAATCAAAAATTGAATATTTAAAACCAAGTTTCCTCTGTTTGTGAAAGTATTGTTTTCCTCGTCAAACGAAAGTGAACTTTCAAAACAAAAGAGCTCGTCTCAAACCAATAGATAGTTTAAATCTCGATTAGATTTCAAAATCATAAACAATTCTTATTTGCTAATTCGAATTGACATTTAATTTGTTTTATTTCTATTTCCGCTGTCGTTATTAGCTTAGCCTGGTTTGACGATGACCTAACCATTAATTCACATTATTGATTGTCATCTCTGCAACTAAACTTACAGCGCACGTATTAAACCCAAATACATATCAATATATTGGGCTAAACAACGTATTCGAAAAGACGCAGGATTTGGACAAAACCGCCCCAAAATGCTGGGTTTGGAGTCGGATCGAATTTTCACCGACCCTCGAGTCGTGTTTGAAGTTTTGTCGGACGATAACGACTCGTCTTTTATGTCGGAGTTCTGTGGCGGGAAGTTTTTTGACGTGAGTTTACTAAACGGTGACTGGCCTCAATTTACGCCATGTTTTCAAGCTACAATTCTTATGTGGGCTCCCCCATTTATGCTGCTGTTGTTCCTGATACCCTACTTATACGGAACCTTTACTGGGGTTCAAAAGTACAAGACTATAAAACCCTCTTGGATGTACTACTCTAAACTAATTCTAAGTGTGGTTCTGGCTCTAATAGCTTTTTCGGACTCTGGACAAGCTGGGGATCCTTTGCACAACTACCAGGCGTACATCATCGGTCCCCTGATTCGAGGAGCTGCATTCTTGGTCACATGTTTTATCATTGAGCTGGACAGGTGCTATGGAAGACATAACAACGGATACCTTTGCGTGTTTTGGTTGATACAAGTCTTCAGTGGGATCATCCCGTTTTACTCCGAGGCAAAACAACAGGCCTTCAGTGATTACTGGCATGTATCTTTTTACATACAGTTCTCTCTCTGGTGTGTCCAACTGGTTCTCAGTAATTTCGCCGAAAAGATGGAAGTTCTGCCTGAAATGGTGTCGGAAAAGCATCCAGTACCATGTCCGGTCAACTTCGCACCATTTTTCTGTTATACCACTTTTCAATGGCTGGATCTTTTGATGTGGAGGGGCTGGAAAAAGTACGTCACTGAAGAAGATTTGTGGGAGATCAACCCGGAAAATAAAGTCGACCCTCTTTACAGCAGATTCAACCAACTTTACCAAAAGGAAAAAGCGAAACAAGAGAAGAAACGAAAAGTTTGGGAGGCGCGTGAAAACATCAACAACACATCGAGCGAGTTCGGAACTTTTACAGGTCAAAACAACGGCTACATGCATTTGCAGGACGATACGACGGAAGCATCGCACCGATCCGAGCGAGGTGTTTTCGGCAACATTCAGTTCCTTCTAAACCGACGTAAAGTCGCCGACCCCAAACTTAAGTTCCGACCTTCCGTATTTGTTGTTCTAGTCAAACAATTCGGCCCTGAATTGTTGAAAGCCTGGTCGTGTAAGTTCTGCTACGATTGTTTGCAGTTCTGTAATCCTCAAGTTCTGAACTTACTTATTGATTTCACAAGTGACGACAGTCAGCCTATTTGGAAAGGTTTGATTTACAGTGTTGCGTTTTTAATGATAGCCGTATTCTCATCCCAGTTTTTCCATCAACTTTTCTTTATCGGAATGACAGTTGGTATGAATATGAAGTCTGCGATTATTGCCGCTGTGTACAGGAAGTCGTTGGTTATCAGCAACGAAGCCAAAAGGTCATCAACTGTCGGAGAAATTGTGAATTTGATGGCTATTGATTCAGATCGAGTGAACCTTGCCATAGGGTATCTTTGGGTTATCTGGTCCGCTCCGTTCCAGATAGTCCTGGCCCTGATATTCCTCTGGTTCCAAGTGGAGTGGGCAGTCTTTGGCGGAATCGCTGTCATCATGATCTCATTCCCTGTCAACTTTTTCCTGGCGAAACTTCAGCGGTCTCTCCAAGTTGGTCAGCTTAAGTTCAAAGACAAACGTATTAGACAAATGGGAGAAATTCTGAACGGAATCAAAGTAATCAAACTATACGCCTGGGAGATTCCGTTCCTGAAACGAATCTTCGGAACCCGAACGAGCGAAGTCGGATATTTGTACAAAGCTGCGTATCTCAACGGTGTGAACACCTTCACATTTACCTTGATGCCTTTTCTCGTTTCAATAGTTACTTTCATGGTTTACGTGTACGGCCTCGGAAAACCTCTGACCTCAAGTAAAGCTTTCGTGACTCTCGCTCTCTTTAACATTTTAAGAGCGCCTCTAAACATGCTGCCTATGTTGATCGCCTTTTTAGTACAGGCCTCAGTTTCGCTGGACCGAATCTCGAAGTTTTTGGATAACTCGGAGATCGATACCACTGCCATTGAACAAAATCCAGATGACGAGTACCCTCTAAAAATGACAAACTGTGACATGACTTGGGTCAACGAGCCGGAATCGAACGGCGAAATCCCCAGAACCTTGACTGACATCAACTTCAAAGTCAAAACCGGATCTCTCACAGCTGTAGTAGGATCTGTAGGTTCTGGCAAGAGTTCTCTCATCTCTGGGTTCCTCGGAGACCTTGCGAAGCTTAAGGGAACCATCAACGTCTACGGTGATCTCGCCTACGTCTCGCAGCAGGCGTGGATCCAAAACTTGACCTTGAGACAAAATATCTTGTTCGGAAAACGGTTCCGAGAGGAGAAGTACCGAAAAGTAGTGGAGGCTTGCGCTTTGAAACCCGACTTGGAAATTTTACCGGGCGGTGATCAAACTGAAATCGGAGAAAAAGGAATCAATTTAAGTGGTGGTCAAAAACAAAGAGTAAATATCGCACGAGCAGTGTATCAAAACAGTGACATTTACTTGTTCGACGACCCCCTGAGCGCTGTGGACGCTCATGTTGGCAAACATCTTTTTGACAAAGTGGTCGGACCCTACGGAATACTACAGAGCAAAACTAGAGTTCTAGTAACTCATGGTCTAGCCTTTCTAAAACATGTGGATCATGTTGTGTTTATGAAAAATGGAAAAATTGAAGCGCAAGGCCAATTTTTGGATCTAGTCGAGGAATGTGCACCATTTCAGGAGTTCATAAAGTCAGCTAATTTGTCGGACGACGATAAGAATAGTCTAAATATCGATGATCTTTCTTCGAACGAGGAACGAAGACACTCGTTCACGCCTTCAATGGCGTCTGATACATCTGATATTGGAGTTACGAAGCCCGAAATGTTCAAAGCCGAATACAGCAAGAAACTGAGAAAGCGTCGGCCAAGTGCGACAATTTCGATTTTCGACGAAGAGATGAACCACGATGCTGATTTGAAAGACGTGGCTGCGATGGAGAAAGAGAAAAAGAAGGAGGACGAGGGGCGCTTGACCGAAAAGGAGGTGGCAGAAGAAGGAAACATAAAACTGTCCATTTTCGTGAACTACGTCAAATCGATCGGAATACCCGCATTTTGCGTGGCGTTTACCCTATTCATTCTCTATCAAGTAGCAAATGTTTTTGCCCAGATCTGGCTGTCATCTTGGAGCGATTGGACCGACAACCAATTATCAGCTAATTTGAGCACAACAGGAGCAAAACTAAACGAGTACACCATAATATATGGAGCTGCAGGCTTATGTCAAACTGGATTTATTCTTGGCTATGCTCTGACCTTTTGCGTGGCTCTTGTGTCGGCTTCTGTGAAACTTCACGCGACACTTTTGAACAACATTATGAGGTGTCCGATGTCCTTTTTCGACGCAGTTCCAAGCGGCAGAATCATGAACCGGTTTTCTAAAGATGTCGAAACGACAGATAATACACTGCCTCAATCCGTGCGGCAATTTGTCATGACTATGTTCACAGTTTTGCAGACATTTATTGTAATAACATACACCACTCCGATTTTCCTGGTGTTTTTGATCCCGTTGACGTTTGTCTACTACTTCGTGCAGAGGTTCTATGTCAGGACCTCGCGACAACTGAAACGAGTCGAGTCCACGACTAGATCTCCTATCTTCAACCACTTCTCGGAAACTCTTACAGGTTAGTCGGCTTGGACATTTAAAGAAGAGAGCAAAAAGTTAAAATTTCTACGCTTTTTTGGTGTTTTAGGACTCGCCATGGTAAAAATTATTTGACGCTTTCTGTTCAGTTTTGTTTGCTTACCATAAAAATGAGAAATGTAAGCTTTCTATGCTATAGAACTCCAATTACTGGCAAAATATCTTTCACGAGTCTTTTGTTTAATCCGGTTTTGTTTCCAGGAACTTCCGTGGTGCGCGCGTACCAAGCGGAGGACCGCTTCATCCAAGAAAACTCGCAGCGAGTGAATGAGAACAACATCTACTACTTCTCAGGAACAGTTGTTGCCGCCAGGTGGCTCGGAATCCGACTCGAGTTCCTCGGGGCTCTGATCGTGTTCGCCGCTTCTCTCCTCGCTGTGTTGAGTCGGGACGACTTGCAGTCGGGTCTGGTGGGATTGGCTGTCAGCTCCAGTCTCAGTGTCACTGGTAAGTTACATATATTTCTTCACAGAAAGTCAGAAAAAAGTTCTGGACAATTATGGTTGCATTGAGAAAAAACGTTCACGCGAGGAAGGGTGGGTGTTGTTTATTTGTCTATTGTCAAAAAATTAGAGTGTTATGAATGAATAATTAGTAAAATTTTCCAAATTAGTATCTGATTTTATGTCAAGTTCAGACCAAATGTTGTTTAACCTTGTTTTTCGCATTCTCTAACTTTAATTTTTTGTTCTGATTTAAAAATCATTTCGCGACGACGGAAAGGATCAATTTGCGAGCTGTTCGACGCTTCGTGAAGAGCTGCTATGATCCGCTTGTTAATAATCAACCGCCTTTTTTGGCTATTCTTCTTGCATGAGTAATGTTGCCACACCCGCAAGCAGCAAGCACGGATTAGAGTGGGTCTCGAACCACAGACCTTTCAATTGAGAGACGGAAACGTTAGCCTTTTAAACATCGCTCACTTGAACGACGTTCTGCTATGGTCAGTGCGTATCAGGGGCGGATTTAGGGGGAGCACGCGCCGAAAAAATGCAATTTTTTGGTAAATTTTTCCAAAAAGTGCCTAAAAACGCTAATTTTGGCCTGTTTGTTCAAAATTTTGCCTGCGGCACTGCAATTTTGTGCCAAAACAGGGTCTTTCTAGTGCTTTGGGGGAGCTCGAAAAATTATTTTGGTGGACCTAAAAAAAATCGACAAAATTTTCGAAAACTTTTGAAAATCTGCCCCCACCCTCGAGAAAATCCTAGATCCGCACCTGGTGCGTATGATATCTGGCGATGTCTGATATTTTTTCAACCCCTATAAAAATGCATGTAGTTTGGAGGGCCAATTTTTGTATATTTTTTCTTTATCGTTACAGTAATTTATTTTTTGTGGGTGCTTCTGGATGTCTGATATTTTATCGAACTCTGAAAACTGTAAGTAGTTTAATGTCCACCAATTTTAGTCCATTTTTTTTCTCGACACTAAAAAATTGTGTGTGATGCTTGCAAGTAGTTTAATGTCCACCAATTTTAGTCCATTTTTTTCTCGACACTAAAAAATTGTGTGCGATGCTTGAACTGTAGAGCACGTATGGGTTTTTGATGTTTTGTTATGAAAATCCTGTAAAATGCGTTGAGGTTTGATTGATGGTCAGTTTTAAGCTTTGATTTGCCAGTTTGCTTTCTACATTTTTTCTCGAAACTTTTTTGTGTAGGTGCGTTGAATTGCACTGTGAGTATGAACTTCTGATACTTTAATAACCTCTTTTAAATGTTTGTAGTTTGATTGGTCAGTTTTTGTCCATTTTTTCTCGAAACTTTTGTTGTTTGTATATGTGTAAGTGCATTGAGTTATTGTGTGAGTATGGATCTCGATACCTTAATAGCCTATTTTAAAGGCTTTTAGTCTGTTTGGTCAGTTTTTGTCCATTTTTTCTCGACACTTTTGTGGTTTGTATATGTGTAAGTGCATTGAGTTATTGTGTGAGTATGGATCTCTGATACCTTAATGGCCTATTTTAAAGGCTTTTAGTATGGTTGGTCAGTTTTGGTCCATTTTTTCTGGACACGTATATTTGTGTGTATATGTGTAAGTGCATTGAGTTTTTGTGTGAGTATAAACGTTGATACCTTAATAACCTCTTTCAAATGATTTTAGTTTGGTTGGTCAGCTTTTGTCCATTTTTTCTCGGCACTCTTATTTGTGTGTGTGTGTAAGTGCATTGAATTTTTGAGTATGGGTGTCTGATACCTTAATGACCTATTTTAACAGCGTATAGTGTGTTTGGTCACTTTTTGTCCATTTTTTCTCTACACTTTTATTTGTGTGTGTGTGTAAGTGCATTGAGTTATTGTGTAAGTTTGGATGTCTGATACCTTAATGACCTATTTTAAAAGCGTGTAGTTTGAGTGGTCAGATTTTGTCCATTTTTTCTCGACACTGGTTCATTTTGTGATTAGGTGCTCTGAATTGGAGTGTGCGTATGATGTCTGACCTGGAGACGTACATAGTGAGTGTGGAGAGGGTTAGAGAGTACAGTGAATTAGAGAGTGAGGCTGATTGGGAGACGAGAGAGATCGAGAGGAGGCCGGAGCCAGAATGGCCGACAGAGGGAAAGGTCGTCTTCAAACACTACTCCACCAGGTCACTTTTTTAAGTCACCCAGGGGCAGATCTAGCATTTTCTCGAGGGGGGGATTTATTTAATAAAAATTTTGAAAAGTTTGTCGACTTTTTTTAGGTCGACCAAATTGATTTTCTGAATTTTAGAGACCTTTTTGGAAAATTTGACTAAAAAAGATTTGGGGCGGCAGGCGTTTTTAGAGACCTTTTTGGAAAATTTGACTAAAAAAGATTTGGGGCGGCAGGCGTTTTTAGAGACCTTTTTGGAAAATTTGACTAAAAAAGATTTGGGGCGGCAGGGGATCGAATCACTGAGAGTGGGTCGAGAGGGGGGGGGGGTGCGTTTTCTCCTCAAATCCGCCGGTGAAGTCACCTGACCCATGTGAACACATTTTTACAACATTGACCAACTGAACTATCCCCCCCCCCAAACTTCAAATTAGGTTTCATTGACGTTATCCTTTTGTAGATACCGAGCGGACCTTGACTTGGTGCTGAAAGGAATTTCTTTCTCAATAACACCCGGGGAAAAGGTTGGCATTGTCGGAAGAACCGGTGCTGGTAAGAGCTCTCTTACCCTGGCTCTTTTCCGAATCATAGAACCCGCTGGAGGCGCAATCGAAATAGACGGCATCAGCATCGCCGAACTTGGCCTGCACGACTTGAGGCCGAAGTTGACAATTCTCCCGCAGGACCCGGTGCTGTTCTCGGGATCTCTGCGCGACAACATCGACCCGTTCGGACATTACAATGACACTCAAATATGGGACAGTTTGAAAAACGCTCATTTGCAAGAATCAATTTCGAAGATTGAGGCTGGACTGGATTATGACGTAGGGGAGGGGGGAATGAATTTGAGTGTTGGCCAGAGACAATTGGTTTGTCTGGCCAGAGCTCTGCTGCACAAAACCCTAATTCTGATCCTGGACGAAGCGACTGCTGCTGTCGATTTGCAGACCGATTCTCTCATCCAGGTAGCTATTTTTTGTGTTTTTGGTAAACTCGATACCAAAAATCACGAAATAATTTTGATGCAAATCATCATCATGTCAAAAACGAGGCGGACCAAAACTAATAATTTATTGTCGAACCGCTTTTAATTCTTTTGTAGAAAAAATTGAAAAATCAAATTTCAATTTGCTTCAGTTCATTAAGGTTCATATTCGCAAATCGAGTTCGTAATATATTTTTGTCACACCTTAGACAAAAGTCTTCTCAAATATTTATTGGAAGCTATTTTTACAAAAGCTCACGAAGTCTAAGTTTGGTTAACAAAGATCAAAAACTGAACGTGAAAATCAATCAAAACCGAAAGAGAAACAACTTATTCGTTACTCGGTTTTTCGTAAACTTAGCATAGTCAATATTTTTGCAGATAGCTCCAACTTAGCTGACGTGTCAAATGATCAATGCTTGGTCAACATAATCGGAATAATTTACTTCAAATGCCGGGGCGAGTTGCCTTTCAAGATATTCTATTTGTTTACTGTTTCTTAATGTTTTGTTTAATAGGACACAATACGAGAAGAGTTTAAGGAGTGCACTGTTTTGACAATCGCCCACAGACTGAACACAATTCTGGACTATGACCGAGTGATGGTTTTAAGCGATGGACTAATCAAAGAGTTCGACAACCCACAGAAACTCATGGCAGATCCCAACTCCCAGTTTCACAGTATGGCTCTGGACGCAGGATTGCTCTCGAATCAGCAGGGAGGCTCCGGTACCAGGACTCCGGAATCTACTTCGACGCCCGAAGAACGTTTGTCGTCTTAACCAGGCGACTACATTGCCAGTTTGATGTAAAGCTATTAGATAAATATTAATAACAAACGTAGGGCTCACAGCTTAGTAAGCAATTTCTCAACAAATCAACTTCGGCGCGTTTTTTGTCGACCAAATTTGTAGAATTGAACCAAGGGAACAATCTCCCCCATAAATCAATTTAGGAACGTAATAGTTCACTTGGCTAAAAAAATGCTTTTAAGCCAATCAGATTTGAGCACAGTACATGCAAGCCTTACTGCTTGAACTTGCCACTTTATTTTAGGGGGAGATTGTTCACATGGGTCGTACAATTCCAAAACTAAATTCTATCCTCACCTGCCGTTATAACATTGAAATATCCCTCCTCCTTTTGAAGCCCCTCGCTTTGGACCCGGAAGCAGACATAAATTTTCACCATCCCATGTTTACTGCGTTTGTGTCCAGCTATATAATTCAATCGGTGGTTTCGACACTCGCTTATGGTACACCGAGAAGTCCACTTACATCGGATCCAGAAAATAATCGGTCCAGCGGACCCAGAAAGTTATCGGTCCAATAAGGATGACATGAGTTCAAACGGGGAAAAAGATTGCGTTGTTGTTTTCTATGTGTTTTCTAGAGCTGCATAAATACGGCGTGCTCTCTGCCGAAAAAGTAAAGGACGCAGCTCAGAAAACAGCCTGAGTTAGGACCGGTTTGCCAGCCCGAGGTATTCGCATATTTTTCGGAAGGTCTCAACGCTGAATTCCTTCATTGTCCCGTCGCTTAAGAAAACGATCCGTTGTTTTCCGCACTCCGCCTATTTATTTGACAATGCTGCGTTGGCGTAGAAACTCAGCTGAATACTTTGGGCGGTTCTCGTTCTCGCTTTCTTTTTGGTGGTAACCTCCTTGGACGTCCAAATTGTTCCCGTGAAGACAGGGTAAAGTAGGACTGTTTTGATCGTTCCCACAACGATTTGTCCGGTCCTGTATAGATTCTGAGCTCAAAGGAAAAATCGAGGCTTTCCCCTGATCCGCTAAAAAAATTTTCACTTTGCTTTTCACTTTTCAAATTGCACCAAACCCCATGTATTATGATTAGGGATGAAATATTTTTGGTACCTCCCCTGTGCAAAACGACCCTGAGTCCGAAAATTCCAATGCGGATCAATTTTACAGCACCGATCGGAGACGTGTAACAAGTCGGCCCACTAAGACATGTCAACTTCTCGAAAAACCACCTGTTGCCCATGTGCTAACATTAGGTACAAAAAAACTCTAGCAGCCTCCACCAACACAGCGAACGGGTTCCTAAAATTTTAAGACCGGTCATCTTAATGGCTCTTTTAAGAAAACATGCAAGCTTAGAAGACCAGGAGCTGATAACTTTCTGATAAACAGCGCTGAAAAATGCCCAAAGTAAATAGTCTCCAGCCAAAACTTCCCACTGAACTTCTCACTGAAGTCAGGGAGCCTAAACTTTTGCAAACGATAGTTAATGACAAAGCAAATCATTAATCATAACTTAACCGAATCGGTCGCTTGGACCGGAAGTTATTAGCACTTGGGAAACCCCCCTTTTAACGGAAATGGGCAAAATACGCGAAATAATGAGCGAGTGCATATTAATTTTATGGCGGTAATAAACACTACATATGAACCCCGAAAAAAAAACCATTTTTGAGTAAACCCCCTCCTTCAACTCCTTCCGGGGTTTATATACATTTCCCGAGAAAGGTGCTAATGGACCTTAGAAAGGGGATAGCTTGGGAAGTGTTATTGGGCCATGGATGAAACTTGGTACGTAGGACCCCTATGGGAGTCTACACTCGATTATGGAAAATTGACCCAGGTTGACCGCGAAATGACTTTTAAAAGACCTTTAGACGTTCAGAACCAAAATTGTATCGGAAACACCAGCATCAACACCCGAAAGCGGCGTATTCTCGAGCCCCAACCCTTTGGGAACGAGAAGTGGTCAACTTGCCATTAATTGGGAAGGAACTGATCCATCGAGATCTGATGCAGGAGCTAGATGGGATATAGTTTTTATTATGGCGTTTTATTATGGCGAGACAAAATTGACAGTGATAGGAGCTTGTCATGGGAAGTGGATCTACTAAATAGTATGAATGGGTGGGATGTTCAATTTGACCCCCAATAAGCGAATTGCCTTCCCCTGATACCTAGAAAGTCGGGATTGGGATACTGTGCAAATTGGAATTTTAGATGCTTCAAATGGATTAGCGGCCTACAAAAATGGTTCTTCCCCTATTCCTGGGAGGTCGAAAAGTTAATGGGATAACCAAATAAAAACCTTGGGAGACTGGTTAATCAAAATAACTCGTTTTAGATGTGAAATTGGACTTTATATTTGCGCAACTTAGTTAGAGATGCTTACAATGAACTCGGAGTTTAAAATAAGTGTTGTCAGAGGAAGAATTCAGGAAGACCTTGCGAAAAAGGTTTTTATAAAATATCTCAGGATTTGTAGGGACAACATAACTCTAACTATAATTAAAACTCAAAAGACAAAAAATTATAGAGATTAATGAATAGCCGACCCTTAGTTAGAACAAGGATAGCGAAGTAGTAGATAGTTTGTTCTCAGAGATAGAGAACGAGAAATTGTGAAGTTTGAGAGACCAGTTACCTCAAAAGAATAGTGATCCGTAAAGACACTAATAAGTTTAGCAGCTCGAACTGAGTAGTTGTGTGGAAGTGTTGTGTGTAATTGTTTAGTTGAGAATCTCTACAGAAAGAGAGTCAATTATTTATTTTAATTGGGAATTATTTGGTAATAAAGAAATTATTCTGAAAGATCGCGACGCTTTGCTTTGATTAGATTATTAGATTTTTTTCTTTGGATTTTTATCGCCTTCTGTGTTTGGAATTATTTTATCTGAATTCAATTAACAAAAGAAATTTTTGTGATTGCGTTGAGTGGACGAGATTCATTTCTATGTAGCACCGATTAAAATAGAAAGGATAAATTTAAGTCAGGGCTAGTATTGGGGCCCTAAAGCCGCCTTTTTTTTCGGCCTCTGAAGGTAGCCACTGTCGAACATCAGCTCCCGCTGGAGCAAACGGTATTCCGGTCCCCGCGGTAGGCTCCCGGTCGTTCTATTCAACGAACTTGAGTAACTTCTCTCCAAGTAGGCATGCCAGCGCTGAGGTAGGGGTGATATTCAGCAACCCACGCTATGCGCTGACGAGGGTCACAAACCTGACCTTGCAGTCCTCTTTCACGTCGTCCAGCAAGGCAATAATCAGAATAAACATCATCTCCAAATAAAAAAACTTATTTGATTAAGACTTGCCGAACCTGAAAAATTTAGCTAGAGTTAAAACCACTAGAACTCAACAGTAGAGACGGAGGAATTATGAAAGGGTTGCAAGCTTACCTTTATATCATTGGCTGAATTATGTGGTAAGATGCCAAAAAAACTGGTGCGGCAGTGGATTGCGGGGAACAGCGTTTTAGATCGTGGGTAAATATTTGGATAAAGTAGGTCAACTATAGTAAATATGCCGTTTAGGTCAACGATACGATCAGTAGGTAGTGAACTGATTAGTATTGGGAGCAAAATAATCCTGGAAAGAGATCAGGTAGAGCTTGAAGAGAGGGCAACAAAAGTAAATATCAAAGCAGTGAGGAAATTACGAACGTAGATCAACATAACATAATGTTGTGTTTAGATGGAAAAGAAAAATACTAAAACAATCAAAGTATATATCTAGCGTAAAGTGCAACAACATTATTCGCGAGAATAGTAATCTAGGAGAGAAAAGTGTAGAATTGCCAACTCTAGGCTTACCTAAGTTATACGGGGACGCATCTCCCTAATTAGCGACGAATATCCCTCCCCTTCCGAGGCCCCTCTGTCTGAACGCGTTAGCTAAAATAGATGGCGTCCGCGTCATCCCGCCACGCTTATGCCCCGCGATTTTTTTCCATCGAGGGCCCTCTGTGTCGTCCCGATTTTCATAAATATGTACATCGAAGAGTTCCGCCAAAATATTTAAAGCCGGCTCGAGAATTCCTCGGTCCAATAACGATAAACTAGGATAAAAAGGGGGGAAATAGAAAGATGGGAACGAGACTATTGTTTCCGCTGTTGTTCTCTGAGCGATTTCCGGAGCTGCGTGGAAACGGCATGTTTCTTGGTGAGCAGATTATGTAATCAGTCTAGAAAACAACTTGACTTGAGGCGGGACTAGCGGGTTTCATCGTTCCGCAGTCCTCAGTACTCAGTGTGGACGGGGTTTTGCCCACGGTCAAACCAAACCGCTCGCATAACTGGCAGGCCGTCGCCCGTCGCTTGTCGCATAGCTAACGTTCCTGCAGTGTTCGCGAAGAGACTCGGCGAAGTACGTTAGGCTGGACCTCATGCTCAAACTGTTGTTCGCTGCCCGCTTTGTGGTTCAACTCGTTCCCGTGAATAATGCATAGAATAGGGATAATCGAACTTTCCTATAGAACAATTTTCCAAACTTTGCATTTTAAAGGAATAAAGGAAAGCTTGATGCCGGAACGTTGCCTTCCCTACCCTACCCTACTTAAATAAGGGAGTAACATCCTTGCCCTCGGGCTTAGCCTTGTAGTTTTCAACGATAGGTTTGTAAGTTTCATACTCCATGACTGAAGACTATTAGTTTGCGTAGCATTATGTTAAAGCCAATGAGTGGTACCTAGCTCGGTTTTGACGAAGCAGTTAAGTCCAAGTCAAGTGGAAACAGTCAAGCCCAAGATAAGTTTGAATCATTGAAGATATAGTCCCTCCTATGGCGGAAAACTCAAATGAAGTAAGATCTGCGACCCCCGGTCCCAAGTGATAACGGTTCCCAGAAGTGCAAATATCCCTATTAGAACTCGCAAACCAGCAGTTTGAATGAAACCGAAACATAGTATGTTATAGAACTAGTTGAGGGAATCTTGAGTTTAGGTTCGCAGATCCCCTGGACCCCCATTTCCTGTGCTATGCCCTATGCGAACAGTCCCAACCCGATTTCCGAAGTCCTTTCTCGGCCCCAATGAACGCAGGGAGCTAAAAATATGCGATAACATACGTAGTAACGACGTACATCTTGTATTATCATTTGAGTCAAATCCAGCGGTTGGACTGAAAGCTATTAGCGCCTGGAAAAACAGCCCCTTAAACCAGAAATATGCAATATACGCAAAATTTTGAGCGGAGGCATTTCAATTTTATGGCGACAAACCACACTAGACACCAACCTCGAAAAAAGACCCCTTGTGAGTAAAACCCCTCCGATGGCTCCTTCCTGTGTTAATAGCCTTTTCCCGGGAAAAATTATAATAGACATTAGAAATGGGATAACTTGGGAAGTATTAAAAGGATGTGGACAAAATTTAGTAGGAAGGCCCATTATTGGATTCTAAAACTGAAAATGGAGGCGTTCATGACTGAAATTGCATAGAAAACCCTGGGGTTAACACCGGAAAGTGGCGTATTCTCGAACCCCAACCCGGAACTAAAATCGGTCACCTTATAATTGGGTGGGAACTTACCGATTGGGAAATGAAGTAGAAGCCGATAGAGGTACAGCATTTACATTACGACATCGAAGTAGTGGAATTAATTGAAGTGGATTTGGCAAACATTGTGTTCAACTTAGCTGTTAATACAAAATCCAATCAGACTGAAGAAAAATAGTTCCAGAGAAGATTGGCGGTAATAGGAGCAAAGCAGGGGAAGTAGGTTTTCTAAATAACATGAATGGACGGGATATTTATCCAGCTCCCCAGAGGTGATTTTTTAGCACAATTTGACCCCTAATAAGCAAATTAAGTTCCCCGGATAGCTGGAAGGTCGGGATTTGATTAGAGTATAGATCGCAATTTGAGATGCTTGGATTGAAGTAGCGACCCATAAAAAGTATCTTCCCCTACCCTCGGAAGGTCGAAACATTTTTTGAATAACTAAATAAAAAACCTTGGGCGATTGATTAATTAAACTTAGCTCAGTTTAGAGATCCAAATTGGCTTGAGATACCTATAACGAGGTTGCAGTAGAGAACTAGTGTCGACAGAAGAAGAATCCGGTAAAGACCTTGCGAAAGTGTTACCAGAGGAAATGTCAGGACTTTTAGGGATGACCATAACTCTAACTATAACTGAAACTCATATAGAAAAACATATAAAGACTAATAAATAGCCCAGCCTGAGAGACAAAAAAATTGCGAAGTTAGAAGATAGGCGGTTCTCATTACAGATGAGAACAGTGCTTCTTGAAGTAAGCGAGATCAATTCAGGTGCCTCAAAGAAATAAAAATCCGTAGAGACACTATTAATTCCAGCAGGTCAAACTGAGTAGTTGTGTGGAATTACTGTGGGTGATTGGCTAATTGGGGTTCTCTAGAGAGAGATAGTCATTTATGTAAGTCAATTATATTTTCTGATAAATCGCAGACTTTTTTAAAATTTGATTTTACACTAGCCATTTAGAACCTTCTGTATTTGGACCTATTTTAGCTGTATTCAGTTACCATTGGAAATTCTTGCGATCGTATCGAGCGGACGAGGCTGTCCTAAGATTAGTACAAAAATGGGCGAGTAACATAATGCAGTACAGAATAGTTGCCACCAACTCCAAACTTTCGTGATTGTGGATAGTAGTGATTCTCGGTGGTCATTGTGATTTCATTGTCCAAGGGACCACTTGCGGGGATGTTAAGTTAGAGTGTCTGAACGGACCTAGAGAAGCAATCACCCAAACCCACAAAATGTAGGGTGTATAAAAGGTTTTGGGAGTGCTTGGAAATCTAAAAAAAAGTTCGACAAAAATTCAAAGTTTTTCGGAAATCCCATCCTTAAATTATTGCGTACGCCACTGGTTATATTTTTGAATTATCTGGCTGAAGCTTGTTATTAACTTAAATTGTTTTGAAAACGTAATTGATTTTGTTTGAATTCCTCAATTTGATTTTTATCAATGTATCTATTCTATAAATGGTATGCGAGTAAGTTTTTAAGTTTATATAAACTGCTTTTATTTATTTCAGTGTGTGCATTCTTTCGTTCTTGTTTGCGTATTTACAAGTTGACGTAGAAAAAGTTGATTATTTAGAAGGTATTTTCTGTAAATTTCGATGAAAACTATCTTTTCAAATTGTTGAAATATATTTTTTGTCATTCTTAGTGTTTTGGAAACTGACTCAGAGTTGCAGTTGAAAAGTTGTGATAAAAAATAGAAATTAAACAACGTTCTATTCTGAAGTCAAAAGATAAAGCTAGGTGTTGAAATCGGCAAAAAAAAAATAACCAATTCATATCTGAATTGCTCTGAAAGTTTGTTCAACCCTGGTTTTTGAAAATGTAGCGCAGGGCAAAGGAGTACAATTAAGTTTGGCAAGATTTGGGCAAATTCGAAGATCATATACTATTTCTTCCAGAAGTGAATGACTAACATCTTCGTGACATTTCATTTGTCGAAACTGTCTATTTATCAGTGTCTTTGAATGTCGAGCACCCAAACTTTGAGTCGAATCATGAGAAGTCTTTCGAAGTTTGAAGTCTAGGAATAGATACTTCTGGAAATGGAATAAGCCTGTCTTCGTGTCTTCGTTTGTTTTTGGCTGAGTATAAATTAAGGTAGCCAGTCAATAAGCAGAATGGTCTAAGAGCAGAATGGGTCCAAGAGCAGAAAAACAGAAAAATATCAAATTTTATAAGCCTATGGGTAAGTTAAGTATAAGAATTGTCAATATTACCAAAAAGCAATAGTTTATGCATAATTTGAACAATTTAATCCAGATTTGTTTTTAAATTCTGCTTGGAAAAACTTGATTAAGTTATTCAGTTCATGCATATTTTTTTCGTTTTCTTGGTATTATTGACGATTATAATACTTGTTTTATCAATTAGCCCGTATTAATCAACAAAAGTTAATATTTTTCTGTTTTTCTGCTCTTGGACCCATTCTCCTCTTGGACCATTCAACTTTTTGCTCCACCTCCATAAATTAAGTATCTTGAGTTTCTATTATTGTGAATCACAAATGAAAGCGGTGATCTTGTTGTACCGATTTTTGGAAGTAAATAGCGTAATATTTCTGGCCACAACTGCTTAACTCAGAGATATCATATCTGATGCAGATCTGAAGCAGTTCTCAGCAGCCTTAAAATAGATAAAGCCCAGTTCTGACTCAGGTCTGGAAAATACCTGGCTTTATCCAGTTCAGGTATGAATTCACCAAAGATCTGCAGCACGGGTTGTGCTAGGCTAGTTTTTTCCCCAAAGATTTCTAGTTTTTAACTAGATAGTTATGAACGGAATTTTTCACACCATCTGAAAGAAATTGACGTCCTGAGCTTGACTTTAAAAATGTATTTCAGATGTGATAATGTTTGAAAACTTATGGGCATTTGAAATTGTCAACTTGGGTTAATTAGGAGGCGACCGCTCGACTAGCAAAAAGCTCGACTAGCATAAAAAGTAAAAAACATCAAAATGTAACGATAGTTTAAAGTAGTTTAAATCACTCGTTCAAGTTGAAATCGTTTATCTGAAAAGGACAATTAGAATTTGCGGATTGCGCCAATCTAAAATTATATCTTTATCCATAGGGGGTTATGCAATTTCCCGCTTTTTAGGGTTATGCAAGTCCAGCTTTTTGGAGCCCCGCTATTTGGCATTGTGGATTGAATAGATCCGAAACATTTTCTAGCCATCTTTTGAACGCTTTTTTGATTTTCACGGGTTTTAAGAATGGCTGCCGTAAAACAGTTTTCAAGAAAAGAGGATATCCTCCTTTTGTAAACCTCACCGCCAGGTTTGAAAGGTTCAGGGGGAGGGGAGGGGAGGGGAGGAGAGGGGAGGGGGAGCGGATCTCTTTAACTATTGCCCTTTTTGCAAATGTTACCATGCATAAATTCTCATCTGCGTAACCTTTCATTTATTTCTTTATAATGGGGGGCTTTCGTTATGAGGTACCTAGGGGATAATAGTTTAAGAGATCCGAGTTTTTTTGCAAGTAAACCGCTTCTGTCCCCGTGTTAACTTTTTTTTTTACAAGTTAGACTATTTATGATAATCGATTTAGCGCCAAAATTATCGAACCGAGCGATAGTTTTTTTGCTATTAGCTAGTCAAGGCGATTTAATACGGCTTAATGCTTCTCGAAAAACCACCTGTTGCCCATGTACTAACATTAGGTACAAAAAAACTCTAGCAGCCTCCACCAACACAGCGAACGGGTTCCTAAAATTTTAAGACCGGTCATCTTAATGGCTCTTTTAAGAAAACATGCAAGCTTAGAAGACCAGGAGCTGATAACTTTCTGATAAACAGCGCTGAAAAATGCCCAAAGTAAATAGTCTCCAGCCAAAACTTCCCACTGAACTTCTCACTGAAGTCAGGGAGCCTAAACTTTTGCAAACGATAGTTAATGACAAAGCAAATCATTAATCATAACTTAACCGAATCGGTCGCTTGGACCGGAAGTTATTAGCACTTGGGAAACCCCCCTTTTAACGGAAATGGGCAAAATACGCGAAATAATGAGCGAGTGCATATTAATTTTATGGCGGTAATAAACACTACATATGAACCCCGAAAAAAAAACCATTTTTGAGTAAACCCCCTCCTTCAACTCCTTCCGGGGTTTATATACATTTCCCGAGAAAGGTGCTAATGGACCTTAGAAAGGGGATAGCTTGGGAAGTGTTATTGGGCCATGGATGAAACTTGGTACGTAGGACCCCTATGGGAGTCTACACTCGATTATGGAAAATTGACCCAGGTTGACCGCGAAATGACTTTTAAAAGACCTTTAGACGTTCAGAACCAAAATTGTATCGGAAACACCAGCATCAACACCCGAAAGCGGCGTATTCTCGAGCCCCAACCCTTTGGGAACGAGAAGTGGTCAACTTGCCATTAATTGGGAAGGAACTGATCCATCGAGATCTGATGCAGGAGCTAGATGGGATATAGTTTTTATTATGGCGTTTTATTATGGCGAGACAAAATTGACAGTGATAGGAGCTTGTCATGGGAAGTGGATCTACTAAATAGTATGAATGGGTGGGATGTTCAATTTGACCCCCAATAAGCGAATTGCCTTCCCCTGATACCTAGAAAGTCGGGATTGGGATACTGTGCAAATTGGAATTTTAGATGCTTCAAATGGATTAGCGGCCTACAAAAATGGTTCTTCCCCTATTCCTGGGAGGTCGAAAAGTTAATGGGATAACCAAATAAAAACCTTGGGAGACTGGTTAATCAAAATAACTCGTTTTAGATGTGAAATTGGACTTTATATTTGCGCAACTTAGTTAGAGATGCTTACAATGAACTCGGAGTTTAAAATAAGTGTTGTCAGAGGAAGAATTCAGGAAGACCTTGCGAAAAAGGTTTTTATAAAATATCTCAGGATTTGTAGGGACAACATAACTCTAACTATAATTAAAACTCAAAAGACAAAAAATTATAGAGATTAATGAATAGCCGACCCTTAGTTAGAACAAGGATAGCGAAGTAGTAGATAGTTTGTTCTCAGAGATAGAGAACGAGAAATTGTGAAGTTTGAGAGACCAGTTACCTCAAAAGAATAGTGATCCGTAAAGACACTAATAAGTTTAGCAGCTCGAACTGAGTAGTTGTGTGGAAGTGTTGTGTGTAATTGTTTAGTTGAGAATCTCTACAGAAAGAGAGTCAATTATTTATTTTAATTGGGAATTATTTGGTAATAAAGAAATTATTCTGAAAGATCGCGACGCTTTGCTTTGATTAGATTATTAGATTTTTTACTTTGGATTTTTATCGCCTTCTGTGTTTGGAATTATTTTATCTGAATTCAATTAACAAAAGAAATTTTTGTGATTGCGTTGAGTGGACGAGATTCATTTCTATGTAGCACCGATTAAAATAGAAAGGATAAATTTAAGTCAGGGCTAGTATTGGGGCCCTAAAGCCGCCTTTTTTTTCGGCCTCTGAAGGTAGCCACTGTCGAACATCAGCTCCCGCTGGAGCAAACGGTATTCCGGTCCCCGCGGTAGGCTCCCGGTCGTTCTATTCAACGAACTTGAGTAACTTCTCTCCAAGTAGGCATGCCAGCGCTGAGGTAGGGGTGATATTCAGCAACCCACGCTATGCGCTGACGAGGGTCACAAACCTGACCTTGCAGTCCTCTTTCACGTCGTCCAGCAAGGCAATAATCAGAATAAACATCATCTCCAAATAAAAAAACTTATTTGATTAAGACTTGCCGAACCTGAAAAATTTAGCTAGAGTTAAAACCACTAGAACTCAACAGTAGAGACGGAGGAATTATGAAAGGGTTGCAAGCTTACCTTTATATCATTGGCTGAATTATGTGGTAAGATGCCAAAAAAACTGGTGCGGCAGTGGATTGCGGGGAACAGCGTTTTAGATCGTGGGTAAATATTTGGATAAAGTAGGTCAACTATAGTAAATATGCCGTTTAGGTCAACGATACGATCAGTAGGTAGTGAACTGATTAGTATTGGGAGCAAAATAATCCTGGAAAGAGATCAGGTAGAGCTTGAAGAGAGGGCAACAAAAGTAAATATCAAAGCAGTGAGGAAATTACGAACGTAGATCAACATAACATAATGTTGTGTTTAGATGGAAAAGAAAAATACTAAAACAATCAAAGTATATATCTAGCGTAAAGTGCAACAACATTATTCGCGAGAATAGTAATCTAGGAGAGAAAAGTGTAGAATTGCCAACTCTAGGCTTACCTAAGTTATACGGGGACGCATCTCCCTAATTAGCGACGAATATCCCTCCCCTTCCGAGGCCCCTCTGTCTGAACGCGTTAGCTAAAATAGATGGCGTCCGCGTCATCCCGCCACGCTTATGCCCCGCGATTTTTTTCCATCGAGGGCCCTCTGTGTCGTCCCGATTTTCATAAATATGTACATCGAAGAGTTCCGCCAAAATATTTAAAGCCGGCTCGAGAATTCCTCGGTCCAATAACGATAAACTAGGATAAAAAGGGGGGAAATAGAAAGATGGGAACGAGACTATTGTTTCCGCTGTTGTTCTCTGAGCGATTTCCGGAGCTGCGTGGAAACGGCATGTTTCTTGGTGAGCAGATTATGTAATCAGTCTAGAAAACAACTT